CAATTATTTATTTAGCAATAAATTATTAACCTTTTTGCTTTCATTTCTGCTGGATTAGAACAAGCTTCCTCAGTTTTGTGTGTGGGCATGCACACACACTTTATATAGGATAATAGATTCACAGATGTTTCTTCATTCAAGAAAATGTTTAAAGATTGCCTATGTGGCAGGCATTTGAATTTTCATTGATTTCCAGTACATTGTCAAAGATATGACTCATATGGTCACTTGGTAGTCAGAATGTTCTTAAGTGGCTGAGACAAGTGACCTGTCTCTGGTGAAACTGCTGACCAGTGAGGAAGATTACAATTTTTTATGATTAAAACTGATTGAAATTATTATCTTTCATTGATTAACCTCCTAAATTTTTTTTAAAGATTTATTCATTTATTTGAAGGGCAGAGTTACAGAGAGGCAGAGGCAGAGAGAGAGAGAGAGAGAGAGGGGGAGAGAGAGAGAGGTCTTCTATCCAATGGTTTACTCCCCAGATGGCTAAATGGCCAGAGCTGTGCAAATCCAAAGCCAGGAGCCAGGAGCTTACTCTGGGTCTCCCACATGGGTGCAGGGGCCCAAGGACTTGGGCCATCTTCCACTGCTTTCCCAGGCAGAGAGCTGGATGCGAGGGGAGCTGCCAGGACTAGAAGGCGCTCATATGGGATGCCGGTACTGCAGGCTGTGGCTTTGCACACTATGCCACGGTGCTGGCCCCAGAAGAATTTCTTAATGTGACAATGATACTTATTAAAGCTTCAATGTGAATAATAACTCAGACTTAATTTTTATGCTACTAAAATTTCTTAATAATTGGAAAATAATGCAAATAGAAAATAAGTTAAGAAATCACTTATCAGTGTTCCTTGCTATCTCCTCCCCTTATACCTTTTTCCAGGAAAATCAAAACACAACATGTACTAGTGATTCAAGTTATAAGGCAAAGTGTGATAAATATGGCACCCGAAAACATCTTTATTTTTTAATCTAACAAAGCATTTCTTTTGAAGAAAAACCATTGATACTCTTTGAAATTTGTTTTCTGCCTATAAGTGATATTTTAAGTAAGTATATAAATTTACCTTCTAGTTTTAGGCAAAGACAAAAATTAGACACAGCCTTACCAAGAGGCTTACAAGGCTGATGGGGATGGCCCACAAAAATGCTGTGTCTGCCTGCCACCTGTGTTTTTCCAGCTAAAGCCAAAAGCATCATTCAGAACACAAAGAAAAATAAAACAAGCTCCAAATTTCTGATCCTATTAAGTTGAACCCAATTTTGTTAAAATAGCTCCTGTGTTTAAAAATAGAACAGATTTTACTTTATGCTTCTCCAATCAAGCAGCTCTATTAGCTTGAACATGATGACCCAGGCTCTGTATTAGCAGGCACAGACAACAGTTCATCTACCTTTAAAAAGGAAAACGGTAGACACAGACAGAGTTTAGCCTAGCAGTTAATCTGGTGGTGGAGTTGCCTGTATCTCACAGGGAGTGTCAGGAGTTCAATCCCTGGCAGTGCAGACCCTGGGAGGGAACAGATGATGGCTCCATTTGGGGTGTTCCTACCACTGTTGTGGAGTCCTGGGTGGAGTTCCTGTATCCCTGGCCTCCGCTTGGCCAAGCTCCAGCTTTTGTGAGCATTTGGAGAGTGAATCAGTGGATGGAAGCCCTGTCTCACTCGCTGACTCTCACATACACAAAAGATTTTAAAAATGGCAGACCATCTCTTAGTTTCCTATTACAAAAAAAGTATATAAGCGAGATTGACATTTTGATATATTTGATTATTGGTTATACTCCTTTTATATACTCTTGAGGATCAGTGGTTTTTCTACTTACTACTTGTTGGATTCTTTATTTAGTGGGGGGGGGAGGTTAAGCTTGTGATTATAAAGAAAATTGAAAATATGTCATTGTAAAAATGAAAAATAAGAAGAAGGAAGGGTGGAGGGAGTGTAGGGTGGGAAGTACCATTTTGCTCCTAAAACTGTGTATATGAAATATATGAAATTTTTCCTTTTTTTAGAAAAAATTTTTAAAAGTTTAGAAAAAAATTTAAAAAGAAATTGTTTCAACTTAGTAGCTTAAAACAGCACAGATGGATTATGTTTCAGTCTCCAAGTAGAAATCTGACTTTGATTTTATTGGGCTAAAACTGTTGTGCTTTATCCGGAGCACCTGGGTGAGAGTCTGTTCCTAGCTTCCCCCGGTTTCCAGAATCTGCTCACATTCCTTGGATCCTATGCCCCTCACTCTACCATTTTCACGTCTGCTCTGAGCTTTCCTCCCTTTAACTCTGATTCGCTTGGGCCCACCTGAATAATCTAGTGTAATCTTCCTGTCTGCAGGTCCTTAACATAATCACTTCCACAAAACTCCATTTGCATTGTAATGCCACATGTTCCAGGGGTTAGGATGCATGCCTGTTTGGGTGTGGGTCACCCTTGTGCCTACCAAGAATGGTAGCAAAAAAAAAAAAAAATGATTAATTAATGATGGGCGGGTTCTGTTGTAGTTTGAATGCTTGCCTCCAGAAAATAAAATCCTTGTCAAAGCCCTGGAACATGGAAATTGTGCCTTATGTGGAAGGCAGTATTTTCACAGATGTCCCTAAGGAATCTGAGAAGAGGAGGTCCTCTGGGTTTATCAGGTGGACCCTCAATATCATGATATGTGAATCTGTAAGAGACTGAGTGGGAACAGGCAGAGAGCAGGAGACCAGGTGATGGTGGAGTTAGCATAGGGGTGAGCACCTGCGCCGTGGGATGCTGGGATTTGCCAGTGATGCCTGAAGCCCGAGCGCAGCAGGGGCCAGATGTCACCCCAGCTCAGTGTGCCTTGATGTCTGGCTTCCAGCCTCCAGACCTGTGCAAGAACACATTTCCCTTGTCTGGGCCACCGAATTTTTGGTGATTTGTCATAGCAGGCTCAGGAAAGTAGTGTGGTCTCTAAATTCAAAAGTGGCTCAGAAATACTTCAGATACCAGGAAGTTTCAGAGATTAAAAGAAGTAACTCTTCACACTTGTACATCCCATCAACACTAGTTATAAAGACACATTTTTAAAGAGCTATAGAGATGTTTCATATGCACAGATAACGATTTATCATTTGTGGTTGAGAGATTACTTGAACTCTGATACAAAATTTATTACAGAAATTGACTTTCTTTACTTCCAATCTTTCTTTTCCTTCCTTCCTCCTTCCTTTTTCTTTTTTTTTAAAGATTTATTTTCTTTATTTGAAAGAGTTACATAGAAAGGTAGAGACAGAGAACCATCAGCTGGTTCACTCCACAGATGGCTGCAACAGTTGGAGCTGCACCAATCCGAAGCCAGGAGCCAGGAGCTGCTTCTGAGTCTCCCATGTGGGTGCAGGGGCCCAAGCACTTGGGCCATCTTCCATGCTGTCTCAGGGCATAGCAGAGCTGGATTGGAAGAGGAGCAACCGGGACTAGAACCGGCGTCCATATGGGATGCCAGCGCTTCAGGCCAGGGCTTTAACCTGCTGTTCCACAGCACGGGCCCCCTCTTTCCTTTCTTTTGAAAGATTTATTTCTTTTATTTGAAAGGCAGAGTTACAGAGGTGGGGAAAGAGAGAGGAGAGGGAGAGGGAGAGGGAGAGAGAGAGAGAGAGATCTTCCATTTGCTGATTTGCTCCCCAAATGGCCACAATGACCAGGCCTGGGCAGGTCCAAAGCCAGAAGCCAGGGGCTTTGTCTGGGTCTCTCATGTGGGTTCAGAGGCCCAAGGATTTGGGCCATCCTCCACTGCTTTCCCAGGCATGTTAGCAGGGAGTTGGATTGGAAGTGGAGCAGCTGGGACTCTTATGGGATGAATACCCAGATGGGATGCTGGCATCCCAGGTGGCAGCTTTACCCAGTATGCCACAATACCAGCTCATGAATGAAGCTAAAGGATTACTTCTGTTGTTGATGCAATCAGCAAACTTACAAATTGTATTAACTGGATGTTCTAATTGAATGAAAATGATTGGCAAGAAAAAACAGACATGTCAGTAAAGAAGAGTACAGGTTGGATATGGTCTCCTGGGTGCCAAGCTTTTAAATTTTTATATAATAAAAACACGTATATTGTGTTTTTAAAAGGATATTTGATAATAGATGGCATTGTTTTATTTTCATTATGTTTCTTTTGTTTTAAAAAATGTACTTGGAGAGATGCTGATGAAAAATAAGCTTTAAATGTTAGCTAGGCTTCATTAATATAAATTCAAAGTATATATTCCTTTGTGGTCTGCTGATTTCATTCACTGTAAGTTGTAGAGTCTTGAGTTGTGCCAGGCATTGATGCACTTGCTCAATGAAAGTAGATGTTAATGGCATCCATTATTTATTTATTAGTAACATTTCCCCATGGAGTTAAAGCCTTTTTTAAGTAAAGATCAGATTGTGTTGTCTTGGAACATAGTGGAATCTAAATATTTCCAGGAACATATTTATCATACAGTATTCTCTAATTCACTCCTTTGCTTCTATGTTTATATTTTGATTGACTATAAGACAAGATAGATTTTATGTGTCTTTTCAGTAGAGGAGTTGCCAATTACATCCTGTAAATATCTAAATGTCTTACTTGGTTTGGATATTTTAGCTGTTTTTTTTTTTTTACTTTATATAATAATATTAATTTTACATGGATGAATGTGCTGTCAGGTTTGCAAACTGCTGGTGGGAAGATGTTTAAGTCCAGTGGTCTCTAATTTGAATACCTTTTATCTAAGGTTTCACAGAAGTCTCATTTGGCCAGAATATTAGCAATGAGTGTGAGTCATCAGGAGATTCTATGCATTGCCTTCAGTGGTTTCGTATTTCGTATGTTCTTCAGTAGCTCTGTGATAGACACTTTTTCCAAGTAAACAAAATAGTCTCAGATTTTGATATCTGATTTAAACAGAGTTAACTTTGATAGTTACAATGAAAATAATCTAATGTTGTTAAAGTGTTTAGCTAACTTTAATTTTGAAATCATATTTAGAAATATACTTTACCATTAGTTTGTTAACTCCAGATGTCACTCTTAACAGCTGCTCATGACAAAATAGCTTCCAAATTTTTGCCTTGGAAGTCCAGTAGACGAGACCAATAGTCTTACAAACTGGGAATAAGAAATCTCAGTGAAACTTTAAATATCATATATCTTAACTTTTTAAAAAAGATTTATTTATTTATTTGAAAGGCAGAAGAGAGAGAGAGAGAGAGAGAGAGAGAGAGAGATCTTCTATCATGCTGGTTCACTTCCCAAATAGTTGGTGGGGCAATCTGAAGCCAGGAGTTTCTTCCAGGTCTCCTATGTGGATGCAGGGGCCCAAGGACTTGGGCAATCCTCTACTGCTTTCCCAGACACATTAGCAGGGAGCTGGATTGGAAGAGGAGCAGCCAGGACTTAAACCAGTGCACATATGGGATGCCAGCACTGCAGGCAGTGGCTTTACCCACTACGCCACAGCTCCAGCCCCAAATCCTACCCTTTTATACAGATTTAATGATTGACAGTTTTCATTTTTTTCTATAATAGAAAATTTATATTTTATTGTTTACTTGAGTTCCTTTTTAGCAAAATATGAGCTTCTGAATTTATGTATTCTCATATCTGTACATTTAATTGTTTGTTGACTATGTTTTATTACTCTACACCACAGACTGTTATTTAACTACAACATTTCAAAAACTGTCGTTGTACTTGGCATGATAGGAAAGGAAGAAGGACGCCTTTGAAAAAATAGCTGGAATGCTGTGATTACAAATGGAGAAGACCCGGGGTATATGAGGAGGAGAGACCACACTAAAGGGAATAGGATGAAGAAGAAAACATGAGGTAGAACCTTGACAGGGAAGAACTTCAGGAATTAAGCAGAGCCATGTCCACCTCACTCATGAATCATTGACTCTGGAGATGGGGCATCGGTCAAAAGTGTGTTCCAGAAATATCGTGTTGGGACGTTTGTCTTTGTTTCCTTGTTTCATAATTTGAAAAATAATTAGTTTGTTTTATTTGAATGGCAGAGAGATGGAGAGGGAGAAAAAAGACAGATGGATAGATAGATTAATAGATGGGTGATTCATAGGTAGATAGACAGACAGGCATGAGAGGGGTGTTCCGTATGTTGATCAATGCCCCAAATGCCTGCAGCAGTCAGAGCTGGGCAACGCTGAGGCTAGGAACTCCATCCAGGACACCCACGTGGGTGGCAGGCTCGCAATTAATTAAATAATCACCTGCTGCTTCCCAAGGTCTGCATTAGCAGAAAACTGGAATAAGGAGCAGCAGTGGGGCACTCTGATGTAGCATGTGGGGTGTCTTAACTGCTATGCCAGATTTCTTCACCTTGGGACGCTTCTAGCGAGCATTCAGCTTGCATGCTGGCACTTGAGCCAGGTGTCTGATACTCTGCATCTGTGTTTCTCAGGTTGCACCTATACCAGAGTCCTGTGGTGAGTGGCTAACACAAAGTGTGCTGGGCAGTCTCCCGTGTTTCTCATTCAGCAGTTCTGGGGTGGGACTTGAAAATGCTCACTTCTGACGTCTTCCTGGGTGACACTGTTCATGCTGTTGTGTGTCAGGAAGAAGATGCGGTGAGAACTGCTAGTGTGTACCTTCTTCACACTTTTGTACCAGCCCCATGCGCTGGAGGGTGCTGACAGTGAAACAGCCACCCGGGATGGGTGTACAGCAGGGATGCTGTAGGCTTTCAGGGTCATTCCTCAAGAAACCATTCAGTCTGGTGAGGGTTAGCATTAACCAGCTTTTCATCACTATGGAAATTCCTGAAAAGAAAAATCCACATCCCACAGCAAAATTCCTGAAACAAGCCACTTCTGAAGGAAAGAGGTTTATTTCAGCTCATGGCTTGGGAGGCTCATAGTCTAGGAGCAGGTGGCCCCAGTGGTTTGGCATCTGGTGATGGTGCTGTGAACACCTTACATGGATAAGTCTTCACCTGCTTAGTATAGTTAGTAGAAGACATTGAGGACCAACCGTTAACAGTAGGTCTTTTGGGGATCCCCAGACTAAAACATCTATCAGCCTTGATTCATGCACCCAGGATCGGTCAGGAAGAAAATTCATGGGTTGGAGTGCCTGTTTCTGGTAGACTTGCCAGAAAAGACAAAATAAGTAGGCATAGTGTATCTTAAATTCATTGAGAGCAGTGGTGGTTAGTAGGAGGGCAAGTTTTATATGGAAACAGGTGTGAGCACCACATATAGGAGCCAGAGAGAGAGAAATACTGAGAACACACGAAGAGCACTACTTTTTTCCATGCAAAGCAGTGAACATGGTGTCCCAAGAATTCACATGTAGAGGCAGTGGAAGAGAGGTTAGCATTCTATAAAATGAGATGTTATGGAGAGGTTCTGTGAGAGGAGAAGTGGAAACTCCAGCCTTGACCTTGAAAAGAGTTTTGATTAAGTGGTCTAGTAGGAGCAACGTGCCTGTCGGCCTAGGGATGGATGCGAGGAGAGACGGAGAGAGCATTGGAAAAGATGCTGGAGTGTGCGGGGACAAGCCAGAAGTCTAAATACAGTTTTCCATCTGTGGGATGGAAAAGAAGCCTGAGTATTTCATCTGTGAGAGTAAAGATCTCAGAAAGTGAGAATCTGAGGAAGCAGGAGGAGAGGGGTAATTAATTATAGAAGAGGAAGAGGGTAATTGATTCTGTGAGTCCCTGTAGGACGTTGGAGGGGTTAGTGTCCAGAACACCGAGGAAATTGTTAGATGGCAAATGATCTTTCAAAATTCTTCCTTGGGACTGCCGTCACGGCATGTGGTAATCTGTTCTGATGCTTTCCTATGCCTCTGCTGCGATGAGAAATTGAAGTGGGAAGGAGTTTAGGGAGATTTTTTTTATTTTCTTCTCAACGTATTCAAGGCATTGCTATTTATCATCACTCTCCTTTGGAACATGTCTGTTAGAATAATATACAATCTATGTGCGCATGCTGGTGACCCGCATTTCTAGAAACATAAAAGCTGCCATACGCAATGTAAGAAGCACTCTGATTTTAACATGACTATATATTATAGGAAGAATAATTGAATTTTTTAAAAAAGGATTACTTTCATTGTATATAAAGTCAGAGAGATGGAGAAAGAGAGAGACAGAAATCTTCCTGCAGACACCAGGATGGAGTCAGGCTTAAAGCCAGGAGCTGGTACCCAATGCTTGTCTCCCACATGGGTGGCAGGGACCCAAGAACTTGAGCCATTACCTGCTGCTTTCAGGGTGCACATTCGCTGGAAGGCTGAATCCCAAGTGAAGCTGGGACAGGAAGCCGAGCACCCCAGTAAGGAATGTTGATCTTCCAACTGTCATAACCACTGCGTTAAATGCTGATCTTCCAACTGTCATAACCACTGCATTAAAGCCCCCCACCACCTTTCCCTCTCTCCATCTCTTCTCTCCCTCCCCCTTCCTTCTTCCTTCCTTCCTTCCTTCCTTCCTTCCCTCCTTCCTTCCTTCTTTGAGGGTTAGACTTCTTTGTGGCATTTGGCCAAAGGCGGGAGAGGTTAGTTCGCAGTAGTGAACATCAGACAAAATCATCATCCACATGTCTTCAGGCTACCAAATACATAGGAAATAGGGAATGGTAGACACTCTGGTAAACTAGAGACAAGGCATCCCCTGTGTAAACACTTCAGATTTGTTGTTTGTATGATATGCACCTAACAGACAAATCTGTGATTGATGTCTGCCTTCACCCTTCTGTTTGTGCTTTTCTCTTTCTGCTATATAATAATGTAAGTATTATTCGTGATTCTTTCAGATACTTCAGTAGAGAGTGTTTCGGAGATGACTGTTTGGTTAAATGGTAAAATATAATATCAACCATTGCTATTCTCTCTGAAAAGCTTCGGTAACCTCCTACTCGTGAAAACAACTTCTAGGGGGTCTTAGAGTGAAAAACATTAAAAAACCATGTCTTTATGAAGTCCAGGAGTACCAATACTAAAGCACCTGCTCTGACATGCACTTACCAAGAATTCTTTTGTTTTCTCATTCTGTCTTTGCACCAATGTGCTCTTATGCACGTGATCACTGTCTGAACTCATCATGTATGTGTGTTTATGGAGGTCCCATTCCCCACCATTTTGGAGCCATTCATTCCCCAAAAAAGCAGAAACAGCTTTTTTTATTTTTATTTTTATTAGGGAGAGTTACAGGCAGTGAGAGAGAGAGAGACAGAGAGAGAGGTCTTCCTTCCGTTGGTTCACTTCCCAAATGGCCGCAATGGCCAGAGCTGCGCCGATCCAAAGCCAGGAGCCAGGAGCTTCTTCCGGGTCTCCCACGTGGGTGCAGCGGCCCAAGGACTTGGGCCATCCTCCACTGCCCTCTCAGGCCACAGCACAGAGCTGGATTGGAAGAGGAGCAAGCAGGACTAGAACTGGTGCCCACATGGAATGCTGGTGCCACAGGCGGAGGATTAACCTAGTGTGCTACAGCGCCGGCCCCGAAATGGCATTTTAACCCCAGAATTGCCATTACCAATCATTCTTGTAGCTCTGCACAGCCAAAAGAAAATGGTGCTTTTCTTCCCTTCTTCTGGTTAAGAACGTAGAGCTATAGCAAGCTTGGTTTGGGAGTCAAGGTTGTGTGTGCGCCTCTCGTGCTAACTCCCTCACTCAGCCCAGACTGCTGTGTGTGTTGATGAAGGGCTGGGCTTGGTTGCCCGGAGAAATGTCAGAGACTGAAATGATCAAAGCACAGGTAAGAAGGGATTGGGCTAGAAGGAAATAATGGGAGAAAGAGGTGATAAAAATTTGAAAGTCAGTGTGGATTATATTAAATCCCTTCTCATAGATTTGCCGTTGACATTTGAGTGTTTATGAAGAAAGTATCAGAATTGCCCAGAAAGACCAGCACTTATGCTTTTTGAGCAACAAATGCCTAGCTGTCTTTTTTTTTCCCACTAGGAAAAGAGCTTACCATACTTGTAAAACAGCATAATGCCACTTTGATGAAGCTTTTCAAGAATAACTGGTACATGGAATATGAGCAATTTGTCTATTTAGGATTTAGCTACGATGGCAGCTGGTATTCAGAAGGATTCATTGACATGAATTTTAAAGTTGAAAATGCTACATAAGCAATCATAAAATATAGACACAGTCAAAATAAATGAGACAGTCTCTTAGGCTAGAAACCATTCACAGGGATATTTCAACTCTAAAACTTTACAGCCATGTAAAATAAGTAATACAGGTTGTTTTAGGTACCAGTAGGATGCATTTGTTTAATTAAGGGTGAACTTTAAAGAAACATTCTTTGAACTCAAATGGAGCAGTAACTGAAAAAACAAGTAAGGAAATAATTATGTTGGATTTATAAGTGATTATGAAGATCTGGTATGAAAGCTTTTAAGTAAGATGTGTGATTCTCATTATGTTATATAAGCCAGAAAATTCCTTTTAGCTTCTGGGTTTATATTTTAAATTAATTATAATCATATAAACATAGGAAAAACCCACATGTACTGACAAATAGAAGAGGACTGCTCTGGAGAGAATTTCTCAGTAAAGGAAATGAGCCGACATGTTGATCTGAACCCAGGGGCATTACCATGCAAACCAGATATTGTATGTAAAAGGATGGTAGAAATCGGGGTAGTTACAGTGCCCCCCCTCCCCGTCTTTCTCCGTCGAGGTACCAAGGTGAGACACAAGTCATGTAATTTGCGTGCTGGCTCTCGGCGTTGTAGCGTTGCAAGCATACCCAGTCCTGCAGTGGTTTCCAGGGCTCACAGGGTGAGACCACGACTTCCCAGCTGGGAAGTTTTGCATTGGCAGCCCGAGGGATGCCTTCCTGCTTTACCCATTAGTTCTCTGTGTCACTGGGGACAGTGCTTTGTTCTACACCTCTCTTGGATTTCCATCCTTTGGGGAAGCCCTTCTGACTCTGATTGTAAACTTTAACCGACAACTGCTTTGTACCTGCTGTCTGCCCTGGCAGGACTGTCCTCTTTTCTGCCTTGACCTTGCCTCTGAGCAGTCTGTGGCCGCCAAATGCGCCCATGAAGGTCTCATACCCAGGTATGAGGATTCCTCTTGCTTGCTTGCTGTGCCTGACCCAGCCTGTTGCAGATTTCTGCTTTGCACATTTCAGGGTGAGTCTTTCCTCGCTTCTACCTAGGATTCAGCTTTGTTCACATGGCCAGAGTTCTCAGTGACAGTCCCGTGGGAGAGAGTGGCAGGAAGGTGAGGGTGTGCATGTGGCTGGGACTCCACCAGTCCCCAGATGACGGCTGTGGTTGCTTTGTGTGTTCTGCTGCTTTCTCCCTTCTTTTTTATGTGGCTGGTTTACTACTGTGGTCAGTCACCCTGGCTCCAGCCTTCCAGGCAGTCATGGGTCATTTTTGTCCTAGGAAGCACCTGCAACTATCCAGGTGTTAGCCAGACAGATTTCTGGCATCCTTACTTCTATGGTAGTTTTGAATATATACACTTTTTCAACTGAACTGACTTATTCTCACTTTTAACAAATCTTTTGTAGTTGTCAATATCATAAGGATAACTGGAAGGGTTACCTGTAGCTCCATTTACAGTGTGCCCAGTTCTTAGAAGTTAAAATTCATATTGCAATGAATTGTCTTCTGTATGTTTCTTAGTATGTGTGTGTAAATAAACTCATAGCTCTTGGGTATGTGAAGGTATTCCAAAAACTTCATTGAGTATGGAATTAGATAAATTTGCTTAGTGTCAAAAATTGTAGAAAGCCAAGCATAGTGTTGACGTAATAAACATCTGTGAACTTCTTGAAGACCCTTTGTATACATGGTTTCAAAATCACTCGCACTAAAAGGAAAAGAAAACTCATCTTTTAATTCTGTTTCTGCAGATGTTTCAAGTATGTCTGGAATTTCTGGATCGTAGAGTGTGCATCAGTCACGCATTTTAATTACATATAGTTTAGACTTCTTGAGATACTCTTGTTATTGTTTCATATAGTTGATTTTGATTTTTTCATTTTCATTACTCTTTATTTATTTATTTTTTTGAATTTTAGTGTTTTTCTCTGTTAACATATCCTCCTACCTGAAGAACTATTCATAATTGGGCCTAAATGGAGCCTACAGATAGTGAATTCTCTTAGTGTTAGTTTTGGTGAAGATCTTTATTTTAATTCCCAGATTACAATACAGAATTTGGGGGTGCTGGGGAGTGAGTTTCTTCTAGGATTTTAGAGATGTTTAAAGTCATTAGCTTGGGTGGAGATGTTCAGTTTGGCACATGCTCACTCAGACTTACCGCTCATGGTAGAGCTAGAAATATACCAGGGAATTCCAATTCAGTCCCATCAATGTGGCATGTACCAATGCCATCTTGCTTGTTAAAGTGATCAGTTTCAGTTCATAATTGATCAAAAAGATAGGATTAAATGTCAAAGGGATTACATAAATAAGACCAGTGTCTGCAAATAATTGATAGAATTAAAGGGGAGAAAATGATCCTACATGAGAAGCAGGATACACAGCAGACTCATAGAATGGCTAAAGCCCTAAACAGCACTCTGGCCTCAGAATCAGCCCTTAAGGCATTTGGATCTGGCTAAAAAGCCCATGAGAGTTTCGCAGGCACAGAAAGCCAAGACATTGTGCCAAAAAAAAAAAAAGTTACCTAAATGAAAGATCTTTGTGAGTGAGATCCTAGAGGAAAGAACAGGCCATCAAAGTAGGCAGTATCTTCCTCTGATGTGAGGAGAGAACTTACACTTTGAATATGGCCTTGTCTAAATAAGATAGGAGTTGGTGAATTCAAGAGGCTTCCATAGCCTTGGCAACTCATGACAAGAGCCTCCGGTGATTACTGATGTCATAAATAAGAATGTCAATTGTTTAATCAACAATGGGAGTCACTGTGTACCTGTTCCCCTTGTAGGACCTCTGCCCTTAATGTGTTGTACTATGAGAATGAATGGTAAAACTACTATTCAAACAGTACTCTGTACTTTGTGTGTCTTTGTGGGTGCAGTCTGTTGAAATATTTACTTAGTATATACTAAGTTGATCTCCTGTATATAAAAATAATTGAAAATGAATCTTGATGAAGAATGGGATGGGAGAGGGAGTGGGAGATGGGATGGTTGTGGATGGGAAGGAGGTTATGGGGGGAAAAGCTGCTATAATTCAAAAGTTGTACTTTGGAAATTTATATTTATTAAATAAAAGTTGAAAAGAAAAAATAAAGTCATTAGCTTCTGTTATTAGCTTATGCCCAGTGGCTCCTGGCTTTCATTTTGGAGTTCAGAAGAGTTAACTTCACTTTTACTATTGTCCCTGTGAGGGCAACCAGCTCCTACTCTCTTACCTCCTACACCTCATTTGAATTTGTAATGTTTTCTCTTTACCTTATACTTTAATATGCCTTGGTGGATTCTGTCTATGTGATTATTTGTAATCTCCTGCTCAGCAATTGGAATCATTCTTTTAGGTATAGCATAATATTCTTTACCACTTTAAAAAAAATCTCAGTCATTTTTTTCAGGTTATTACAGCAATATCACTCTTTCTTTTTGTCTTCGTTTATAATTACACATAAATTAGTTCCTATTCTTAGGACCCATTTTTATTTTATTCTATTTAAATTCTAAATTGTTTTCCTGCAGTATTCTGGAAATTATCTGCAGAACTGTATCCTAATCAGCAATCTTTTTGTGTAATTCATGAGTCATTCTTTGTATATAAAAGGTCAAGGAGTAAATATCTTGTACTTTGTGGGACATTGAGACTTGTCGCAACTAGAGAACCCTGAAGTTAGCACCAACATATCCTTAGACAAAACACAACAAGTAGGCAAAACTGTATTGCAATGCAAGATTTATCAAAACCAGGAGTAGGCCAGGTTTGACCCATGAACTGTAGTTTGCCAGCCTCTGGTGTAATTTAACCAATTGAGTTGTATATAATTTCAATTATTGACTTTTCCTTGTCCATCAAATTTGACTTTGTGTGGACTCCTGTTTCCTGGCAAAATTCAATATTTCTCTCACTATTCTCTGAATACATTTGAAATTAGTTTATTGATGGCATCTGATAATTTCATTATCATAATCAACTACCTTATTTTTTGTTTCCTTCTCAACTTCCTTCTATTGTTTTTCTCATGTTTATCACTAGAGCTTGAAACTTGGTGTTTAGCCTTCCCATGGCTCTTCCCTAATTTTACCCATTAGTCTTCTTAAGAGTTCTTTTTTTTTTTTTTTTTTTTTTTTTTTGACAGGCAGAGTTAGACAGTGAGAGAGAGAGAGAGACAGAGAGAAAGGTCTTCCTTCCTTTGGTTCATCCCCCAAATGGCTTCTACGGGCCAGCACTGCTCTGATCTGAAGCCAGGAGCCAGGTGGTTCCTCCCGGTCTCCCATGCGGGTACAGGGCCCAAGCACTTGGGCCATCCTCCACTGCCTTCCTGGGCCACAACAGAGAGCTGGACTGGAAGAGGAGCAACCGGGACAGAACCGGTGCCCCAACTGGGACTAGAACCCAGGGTGCTGGCGCTGCAGGCGGAGGATTAGCCAAGTGAGCCATGGCGCGGGCCCTTGTTCATGTTTTATCAGTTAATCTACTGAGTGTTCCTTCTTGCCCAAACTTTCCTATGTGGATTCCTAATCTGATTATTAGAGGGTAAATTGAGACTGTCTGGTTACAATGAGTATGTTTTTACCTGAAGTCGGGAGCTTAGTATTTATGCAGCCTTGTGAATATTGGCAGTGCAATCTAAAAGTGAAAATTTTGTAAGTAACCCCCAAATACTGATAGAAATCGTGCAACTGTAAGACACAGGGTTACACTTACCTCTGTCTCTCCCTCTCCCTCTTTCTGTAACTCTGCCTTTCAAATAAATAAAATAAATTTCAAAAAAAAGATATAAGATCAAAAAGCAGACTATTTGGTTACTGTGTAGAAAACAACTTATGAAATTGTTAGATAAGAATCTTAAGTGACAACGTACTACAAAAATCCATCTGTAATGAAAATCATATGACTTGGACTAGAGTGGGAGGGAGAAAGCTCCCTGTGTGTCCATGACACTGTGTGTTGGTGACGTCCACGTGTCGGTGACACTGACTTTGAGTGTTTCCCATTCCTACAACAATTGGTCTAAGATTTGCAGTTCTTCCCTTGACATGCTGACCTTTTCACATTGATTCTTTCTACCTGCTGCTAAGATACAAAATCAATATAATCAAGCAGGCAAATCACTTGATACTGAAAGAGCCTGATAATAGAGGAGAAAATCTAGTTATCTGTTGTCCTTGGATATGCTTGTACACGGATAAAGACAAGCGTGCAGGCTCACTTTCGGGCAGTTCCTGATGAAATCTCCCAGGGCTCAGGCGTGACCTTTATTTTTAAAAGAGCCCTCTGAACAGGGTCCAGGCAGCAGGTATGGCAGGCTCAATTTTTATGATATCTCTCCTTGGTGACTCCACGTGGTGTTTCTTTCTGTGTTCATCCTAAAGCCGTTTGGGGAGGTTTCCCGCAATGCCTGTTTTGCTCCCATTTCTGCTTTTCAGCTGGCGTATAGCTATTTGAAGTCAGATCTGTAATGGAACCGTTTTACAGGAGAATCAGCAGGGGGTGGTGCAACCTGAACGTTTTCCTTCCCGATGCGTCTTCTCCACGTCTTTTGTAGACACACTAGTCCCTTGAAGCATTAACAAGGACCCCTC